CACTAAATTCATTAAATCACAGCCAAGGTATTAGTTTTATGTATAAATAATAATCCATTGAATATTCCTTGCTGACTGGACTTCTCCTTTAACCCGGTGTTTTCTAAAAGGACCAGTATCTGTTTTCCACTGGGAGGACTGGAGGTCGGAGGTCCTGCTGAGCAAAACATGTTGGCAACGCTTTGTTTCCCTAAAGTTTGCTCAGTGCGACTTCACAGCATGACGGTGTCCACCTTCCACACAGATCTAATGAGATGATATGATTTCCATGGTGTCAGTCCATAAGTGTAATGAAATTAAACAGAATTTTGTCCTTGTCACAGCAGCAACACATCTTGATTAAAGTAAGACCTAAAAACAAACTTCTTTAAATTAGCTTTATTCTCAGTGGAGCTTTACTTCTTAATCCGATACCTGATGAGATGTTTAAAGATTTACCCTCTGGCTTTGGTTCTTACCTCCTGCATGGAAAGCAGGCCTCCCAGAGGCTGCTGGTGCAGAGCTGGAGAAAGATTTAAATCCACCCCATCGCTCTCTGATGCTCAGACAGGTAAACCAGTCCTTCAAAATGAACCCAGCACTACAGAACTAGCAAGACTAAAGCTCCTCCTGCAGCTGTACATGTCTGGACAAGTCCTACATGATGCAAACTAAAGAGACTGACCGAAAACCAAGAATAAAGCAGAAATCTGAGCAGAAATATCCAGAAAATGTGTAGAATAAAGCTGAGAAAGACGACAGAAAAGCTCAAACTGAGTGGAAAGCAGCTCCTCACAGGACAGTCATGTGTTCACCTTTTCATTGATTCATCTCAAACTGATTGGTGATTATCAGCTTCAGAAGCTGTCCTGATTTCATCATGTCAGAACAGAACCGGTCCATTCTGGGGCACAGCCTGCTCCACTGCTACCATTTTAACAACAGATTCCTGTTTTTTTAACGTAACTTTATAAAAGTTCCTGCCAAATCTGGTGGACTCTTTTTTTTTTTTTTTTTCAGGAGCTCGTTGGAGGAACAAACGCACCGGTCGGAACCGGTTGTACGCTCTATCGGAGCGGTTCTCTCAGCTGTTAAACACACTGACCTCTCCGGCTCTCGCTGTCCCTCTTTCCCGCTCTGCTGCTTCCTCTGACGGGGTCACTTCTTCTCCGGATTCGCTCCTCTCTGCCCGGGACTCTCCGGGTCAGGCACCGGGAACAGGCCGGACCGGACCCAGACCGCCTCTCTGAGCAGACGGAACACTTCTCATGCGGACCGGACCCGGCACGGAACCGGGCGGACCCGGCGGTGCCGGACCCTGACCGGGAGGTATCAGCGGTGGTGCCGGGCGGACTGGCTCGGTGTTCGGCGAACCCTGCGGTCGCCATCTTGTCTCTCAGGTCCGCTCTGAAAACAAACCCCGCCCCCTGGCGAAAAAACAGCGCGAGCACAATCTGGATGAGCGTGAAGCCCGCCAACCACGAAATCAGGACACAGCGGCGCGAGTCTGTTGTGGCGGGAGACCGAATTTTCAAAACAAAAGCACATGCTCCCAGAAATAAAACAAAAGTTGATCTCAATAAATAAATAAATACATAAATAAATAAATTAACAGAAACCATCTCCAAAAAACAGTGAATTTTACTGTATTTCATCTCCACTTTTAGCATCAAAACAAGCAATAAATAAATAAATAAATACATACATAAATACATAAATAAATAAAAACATCCCTTTCCAAATACCAACTTGTTACTCAAGTAAGAGTAATGTATTTGGTAAAATAGGTTTCTAAAGCACTGAGTAACCCATCATAACATCATATATGGTGATAAGTGATCTAATAGGACAGACCACAATGTAAAGATAATTGCAAAGTCTGGTATTTTAAATACTATAATATACTAATTAAATCAAACAAATAAAAATATATAGTGCAGTTAAACTTCTCCTAAAACATATATTTTTTTGTCAAAATTAACTTAAGTAAATGAAACAATACATTTTAGGAGTAACTACTCACCTCTGCCTTTAACCTTTGAATGGCACCTGTGTGTTTAGACAAGGGACACTTCTCCCCATCGTGGGAACATTAATGGAATGATCCATTTGCTCTGTATTTCTTTGAGACCCACCAACCTGAAAATTAGGAGCACTGAAAAAATATCAATGCCGCCTCCATTCCTTGTAACATTTCTATTTCAGATGTCAAATCAACAAGAACTTAAATTGGCTCAGCAAATAAATAACGTTTCAGGACGCTAAAGTTGATCCATCCTGCTTTGGGAGTTTTTTCTCGGAAAGATGCATTGGACTTGTTGCCACCGGTGCAGAGCTTAATCAGTATCCGCTTCTGGAGGGTTTTTGGATGTAATCGTTGGACAATAATAACTATATTTGGGTTAAAGTGAGAATTGTAGTTGTAGTTTTTTTTATATTTTATTTTTTAGATTTCATAATGTATGTTTTATGACGTAAAAAGGTTTCCCCAGTGCTGATAATAGTATAGAATTGCAGAGCTTTATTTTGAAGAGATCAGTGTTTTTCCGGTTGAAAGTGCGGCTGTACGGAAACTCTCCACAGCTGACAGGTGGAGGACTTTCATGAGAGCGCGCGGTGACTTTTTCAGGTGAGCACCCGGATCAGATGAGAGGTTTCAGCTGGTTCCTGGGGAAAGCGAGCAGTTAAACTCAATGTGAGGATCTGCTGGTAACATTGCCACACGGAAGTTACTGGAGCACAGAGCAGAGAGAAGCATAGACAGGATCTAAGGAAGTTTTCCTCTCTGATCACATCTGAAAACCTGATGAATGGTACCAGGTAGTGATGGGGAGATGAAGCCTCATAAGGCTTTGGATAATTGCTTTAACAATCCCCACAGTTCAAGAAGCCTCATGTAAACATGTCAGCACCTGCTGGTGGAGTGCAGAACTACAGTTAGAAATATCTGATTTTTTGCAATTGTTTTTAGTTTCCCCCCCCCCCATATAAGTTCCTTTGAAATTGTTAATGTTTGGTCTGTATAATAAAATCGTTTGTAAATTTTTTTATGTGTAAAATGTCTTAGAAGAGGAAAATCACAGTTTTTCTGCCATTTTGGTGAAATAAGCTCAAGCAGACAGTGAAAGTGCAAATTGGCCATAGATGAACAAAATGAAAGGTGTTAGTCATTTTATTGAAACACACTGTTTTTTCCATAGTTTTTGGTCTTAATCAGGTTTGAAGTTATGTGTTCAACCAATCTTTTGGTCAAACTAACAAATCTAACTTTGGCAGTGTTTTTACCCTACCTATATTTGTACTAGGGCAAACAATACAAATTAGTCACATTAGCAAAAAAAAAAAAAAAAACTTTTAGAAGTCTGATGTGAGTCTTGAACCATCAACCTCAAGACTGAAAGTCCATGTCTTACATGTGACACCACTTGCAAGACAATACATGTTCCTGAAAGCAATACTACCGGTATATAAATCTCATTACATGTGTAAGCAGTGGACACTCTGATTTTGATCATTACATTGTTTAATTTCACCAGACTAGTTTTAACCAAGTAGAACTATTGTTTTTCCAACCAATCTATTCTTAGAATATATCCAAACTCTATGAAACTGACAGTAACTCTCCTACAAACTCCCACATCTTAAGTGAACACAGAGGCTGTTTAAATGCCTGCTGAAGTTCCGGGCAAGTTGAACCACTTCCTGAAGTGGTCACCTGGTATGGCGGGAGTAGCGAGGCTTCGGACGTCATCTATTTTGGCTCCTCCTTAAATGAAGCAAGCCTCGATACTCAACACATTCCTCGAAGCCTCGGCTCATCTCATAACATCACTAGTACCAGATCTATCAGATGCTGACCCAGAAAAGTCCTCCCCTCTTCCAGATGAAACATTTTGGGAAAATCTTTAGATAAACATTTTTCTCTTTGAACTGATTCCAATAAAAAACTGTTCAATTAAATTTTGTTTCAATTCTGCCTTCAGTTCTGGATGCAGACCAACAGGCCCCTGGTGGAGGTGGTCCGTCTGGGCCTGGTCTCCTATCAGGAAGGTCTGAGGCTGCAGCAGGTCTTTGTTAACCGACACCGGTCTGGTCCAGCACATGCACTGCTGCTGTGTCAGCACACGCCGGTCTACACCACCGGGATCCGGCACAAACCGTACCCGGGGCCCCTGCTGGAAAAGCTTTGCCTGCTGGGGGCCGACGTCCACCGAACCAACAGAGGAGGACTCATCACCTTTCATGGACCGGGGCAGCTGGTCTGCTACCCGGTCCTGAACCTGGGAAGCTTCAGGAAGGTCAGACCAGAGCAGACTGGGGTCCTTGAGCTTTGGGGTTTTGGTTGTAAAGTGTTTTCTGTTCTCTTAGAGCGTTCGCTGGTACGTCGGTCAGCTGGAGAAGACCGTCATTACCCTCTGCAGCAGGTTAGGAGTAGAAGCAGCAACGTCTCCTCATACTGGAGTTTGGGTCGGAGACAACAAGATCTGCGCCATTGGTAGGTCACATCGCCATGACTACTCTCACCACCTCAGCAGCAGGTATTAGTTCCTGGAGCCTTGGTTGTTTTGGGTGTGTTGGCTCCATAGGGATGGCTTTAAGACACTCCCTGGTTGATTTTCACCTCTTCTATGGTGGTTTTAAGCCTTTTCATAATAATTTTATCCCACTTTAAGGAAGAGTCCAGTCAGCAAGGAATAATCAATGGATCATTATAACTAAAACTAATATGTTCACTGTGATTTAATGAATTTGGCGTTAATCAGTAAACAACAATGAAAACAATTATTTTTGTTGCGATTACCGAGTCAGAGACCGGAACAAAGTCCCCTGATGTTGTTCTCCCCCCTCCCTCTTTACCAAGTACCCATCAGAGCTGACTTGTCTGTTCTCGAGATTGACAGCTGTCCCAGCATGCACCGTTGCTCTGTTGCCGTTGTTCAATAAAAATACGTGTCCAGATCATTTGAGGCGAGAACATTACACTTTGAAGGTTCATTATATGGCCCATTTAATGAGTTAATGCGTAATAAAAAAATAAAAAAAAATTCCAAAGTGGAGAGGACCGTGGCAACCAGCGGACTTCCGAGGGTAGCGGCAACCATTAGCCTTCTCCTGGCTGCTGCAACTGACCCATATTTATGCTGCGTGCTCCTGTTCTCCCCGAGTCCACACTTTCCTGTGATCTGCTCAAGAACATACTTGGTGAGGACACATGTCCATACTCGCATGCTTGTGAATTGAGAAACGGCCATAGTAACACCTCAGTCCTTCCGGCAGTGACGTCACAGTGCGGTAAGCCTTTCCGATTCATGATCCTTCATCGTTGCATTGCCAACTTGAAGCAAAGGATTTGCCATCTAACTTGTGGCCAGAGAAAAAACAAGTAATATGTAGCCAACATTTGGAAGAAGAATGTTTTCAAGATTACTTGGACAATAGTGCGTTGTGACAAACACCAGATACAGCACTGGGACTTGAACAGCAGTCGATGCCGCACCGTGACGTTACAAACCAGTAGGTGGCAGTAGTGTTCTTTGACAAACATTGATGGATGGATGGATGGATGGATAGATGGACCTCTTGTTTGGCTGAAGGTGATGTTCAAGAGCTGTGACATCCTTTCCTTTCTATACATTCAGATGGATAGAAGATCAAACACTTGAAATTAATGCTAAGCTGCTTAAATAAGCAGTTTTTTTAAGGATATGGTTAAAAAGCTCCCCTGAGGAAAAAAGAACCCCAAGAAACTTCCAGACCATTTTAGCTGTTTTGTTGTGTCTTTTATGACATGGAAAGGGAACCTCGGCAGGTAAACTGACTGCTTCTACAGTGGCTGATGACACAAACAATGCAGAAGAATCGGATGTTTCCACTGATATATTTAAATCATTATCAGACAGAAAGTTCGCCTATTCAGAGGAAGAAAGTCAGCTGTTATCAGAGATTTCAGTTCAGAAAGGAAACTTAAAAAATATTAAAACACCCAAAGGTTTTGAGAATAACTTTGTTGTTTTCTTAGATTTTATTTTCTTATCATTTTTTATTTTTTTTAATAATTCTTTTTTAGACTTAATTTTTGTTTTTAGACTTAGACTTGGACAAACTTTATTGTCTTTTTGTTTACACAGAGTGTACACAAAACGAAAGTTCGTTTTGTTTAGCTTTCATGACATTTCCATTTTTTAAACTGCAGCACTGATCAAATCTAAACATTGGGAGGAAAAAACATGGTGCAAAAAACCCCCAAAACAAACGCCATGATATGGCCAGTTTGATGCAGAGACTAAAACATTCACTTTTTCTTTTATTTTTATATGTTGTAATTTCTTCTTTTTAGATTGAGTTTTACAATTTGTATTCTTTTTAAATAGCGTTCATAATCACATCCTCTCTACTTTAAGTAGAAAAAAACGAAAGCTCACTCTTGACCAATAAAAAGCCAACATCCGTTGGACTAATGGAAATGCATCTTCACTCTTCATTCCAGAGGAAAACCCACCCCAGGACGGAAATAGAGAAATAAAAAAAATAGAAATAAAATATGAAAAGAAAGTTATTCTCAAAGCCTTTTTTTAAAATAAAAAAGGTAAAAATAGCAAATTTCAATTGAAAGAACAAAATTCACTCCATAAATCAGGACTAGCAGCAGACACAAAGCATGATTTTAGAACTTGGAGACTCTGCCCGATTTGTAATTTATTTCAGCCTTAGAATCCTTAGTGTCATATTTATTCCAATATGCCCTATGCATATTGTCTTTCTGTCTTGTGTGTTTTTATTCATTTACTTCATCAAGGCTGTTTAAAGAAACTGTTAAAAGTTAGCCTGAATCAACAGGGTTTCCGCGGGTCATTAAAAATCATTAAAAGTCATTAAATTATTATTTTGCTTAAATTGAGGCCTTTGTTGCCATTAAAATTCATGAAATGTGATATTGTGGCATTTAAAATGCTTTATTTAAAAAAAAAAAAAAACTATTTCGTCAGATATATTATATCGCAATATATTTGCGCGGAACTGCTTCCACTTGATCGTAAAGCCGTATGTTCGGTAAAGAAGCTCGAGCCGGAGAAAAAGCTAGAGAATGGGAAAATGCAAATTTCAACAATAGTGGCTGGAAAATGAGGAATTCGGGACATGGCTGCAGGCTGTCCACAGTAAAGAAGACAAAGGATTTCACCGTATTTTATATATATGTATATATATGACTCATGGGTACTTGTTGATGGCGTTAACATTATATCTAAGAGCATTAAAAATCATTAAATTTGAGTTAATCATTCCAGTATTAACCTTGATACAGCTTCTATCTTTAGAATTAAATATACAGTGGATAAGGAAAGTTTTCAGACCCCTTTAAAATGTTCTGTCTTTGTTTCATTGCAGCCTTTTGCTAAAATCAATAAAATTCATTTTATTTAGCATTAATTTATACTCGGCACGCCATCTTGACAGAAAAAAACAGATGTACAAATTTTTGCAAATTTAATAAAAAAGAAAAACTGAAATATCAAATGGTCTTAAGTAATCAGTTCTTAAGAATCAGAGTAATCAATTTGCAACATTTTCTGTCTTTCTTCTGAAGGTTTTAGCCTATTAAAGGTTGTTTCAGTGTTTTTTTTTAAGTATTTTTTTTCTTGTTCTGTGCCTCTTCACCTTTTCACCTTTTTGATCAACTCAGTGATTTTTATACTTGTTTATTACACCTCAACTTAAAAGTTTAAACTCAAAAGCAGGTTTGAGGTTGACACGCCAATATTAAAGACAGCTACACATAATTTCCTCTCCTCTGTCATTTCAAAGATGATTGGCGAGCCTCGGTTTGACGCAGCGTTTCTCTGATTTCAGGAATCCACTGTGGCCGCTACATCACGTCTCACGGTTTGGCTCTGAACTGTAACACGGACCTATCATGGTTCAGCCACATTGTTCCCTGTGGGATTGAAGGGAAAGGCGTGACATCGTTGAGCAGAGAGCTGCAGAGAGACGTCAGTGTGGAGGAGACCATCCCTCACCTTCTGGACGCCTTCGCAGAACATTTCCTCTGTCAGCTGACTGAAGGAGAAAGGCCCGAACAGAACAGTGGAGTGTCGTCTACATAAAAACTGTTTAAAAAAAGACTTTTTATTGAGTACCAGTTACACTAAAGTTGGAAAGTATACCTCATTGTGTTTTAGTTTTTTTTCTTTTTAAATAAAAATTGCCATGACTTTATTTTGATACCGTTTGGATCAGTGTTGGGCACGTTACTTTAAAAAAGTAATTAGTTATAGTTACTAGTTACTTCTCCCAAAAAGTAACTGAGTTAGTAACTGAGTTACTCCACAATAAAAGTAAGTAGTTAGTAGTAAAAGTAACTATTGCGTTACTTTTGCGAGTGTATGAAATTAATAACTGGGGATGTTTAAGTCTGAAATCC